AATTTATACTTATGCGTGATTATATTTGGTCTACGCGAAACATTAATCTTTCTAAACATTTTCCGAGACCATGCATGATATATATTCACAAAATAATGCAATCATATTTTATATTATGTTGATCTCTACGTCTTTCTGGATCGTTTTGTGATTTTATTCCAAAGCTCAGGCAAATAAAATAATGTCAACTATTATAGACTACTTAGTAGTTTCCTAGCTTTTGGCTCAGCCAAATTGGTTTAATTTTTCATTAGAACTTTGTGATCCTTTTAATTTCCCAGTTCTTTGTGTTCATTAATGGTCTTGACAATAAGTGTGAATTGCTGTGCGAGCCCACCGCCGAAGACCGCGGTCAGCCGGCGTCATGGAATCTATGCATAAATTTGCATAAAATGCGGTCGACCGGCGAGCACCCACCACCACCGCGGTAATGACCGCGATGCACCGCCCGTTTGATTTCCTACTCTTCCCTTAGTAAATAAGTAAAGCTTGAGATCACGCCAAAACAACATTTCAAACAATTGCATGTGTAGACGATAGATAAAACCTTACCTGGTATGTGAATATGGCTGTTTGATTTAATTGGTGTACCACGTACATATCCATACAGAGCAATCGATCTATCACATTTCCCATCCAGTCTTATCTTCTCGGGATCAGTCAAATCTTCCATCCTTGAGAAGAAAAAAGAAAATGTTAACTAATCAATTCAATTCTCATGATGTGAACACTTAGAATGTATAGCAAACTGACCACCACCAGTTTTTTTACACATTGACAGACAGCTTGTTTTCGTGAAATACACGTCTTCAGCGCAACCTCAAAACAAATGTGAAAAATCCGCCGCATAGTGTTTCTAATTACCGCATGAATCAGATTGAAAGGTCGCTGAAAGTGAATATTAACAATGATATCAATACTCCTCCCAACAAACAAAATTATGTAGATGGGAAAAATTAATAACTGATTATAAATCAACTGTTTCCCTACCTGTCAGCAACGATGTACGGATGTGTAGTTCTCCATGTAAGTGGCCGGAATTTCATAACCGAGATAAAACGTCCTAAATTCCTGATATCCATCTTGTTATACTCGCCATGGACCAATCCAGAAATATAAAACAACTTGGCACCTTGGTAGATTTCAGTCCAGAATCGGTGTTTCATTCTTTTCTTCGTCTTCTTCAATACTTTGTTTTGTTTAAAAGTATCGAGATGCGTCAGAACTCCCATGATTCGAGGGAACCCATGCACTTGCACAATGTTCAGAAATTCAAATGTTTCCATTTCAAATCCAAAACTTGCATCGACCAATAACAACACCTAGATGATAATAAAAACAGTGTAAAGAATGCACACACAGAGTATAGTATTGACTAGCAAGTAGATCAGTGTGATTATGTACTACGAGTGCTTATATTCATATATTACAATTATGGTTTTCAAAATTGTAGACAGTGCACTCAATGAAGCAAAGAAATTGACAAAGTGCCAATGCAATGCAAACCACTGACACAAATTGAGAAAAAATGGCACTGTTTGTTAAAAACAGTGAGAAATCATACTATTTTATATTTTTTGATGTTTGAACAATGTACAGTATAGAGGCTTTAATTTTCCGCAAGGTTTTATTGTCACTTATAGCTAAGCGTGCTAAACTGTAAAACCATTTATTTTCACTGACATTTAATTATTTTGATGTTTTGAGCATATTCTCTGAGTTTTAATTTCATGAATTTGTCAAGAAAACAGCGAGTTTTATTGTTATTTTACATGTTCATGTAGATTTAATTTAGTGGTTTTTACTTATCAGCCAAAATAACAAAATTAAAACCCAGCAAATAATTAATGCATTTACAGTAATTAAAACAACAAAAATTCAAAGCTAATCATAGATTTCATTTTTTAATATGACTATTAAATCTTTTTCCTCCTCATTTTAGGTATTTAATTTAATGTGTGCTGCGGGAGATGTCACATAGAAAATAGTGGGTGCCATAAATTTTAAAATTACCAAAGTAACAATGTAATTTGGAAATTGATAGATGTCATGACTGGATTTCAAGGGTACCCTGGTAATACTGTTACCAGAGTGCTCTCTAAAACGATTGATTTTGTAGGGATCCAGAGTGGAATCCCAAAAAAATCAAGACCTGTCAGCTTGGTCTTTATAAAAAAAAAAAAAATTGAAAATGACTGTGTAACTGACTTGAAAATTATCAAGGCTGTTCATTTTCTTCATTTTCCCATTTATTTTCATGAATTTCATTTTACCAAATTTTGAATTTTATGACTTACTCGGTATAGGGAGATGTTTCAAGATCACTATATATCAATGTAATCTTTTGTGTTGCGTCAATGATGCACCGATGATTATGTATAACAAGTTGCACCACAGCAAATTCGTGTGCGTCATTGGTGCGTCATATCAGTTTAAAGAACACACTGATTGATACTGCACTTACTGTAGGAGAAACTTACCAAGTCTGCAACTTTAGCGATGTCAATTAAACAATTAATATCATTATTACACTCGATTATTGAAAGTCTCCTTTTTTTACCTGCAATGAAAATGTAAAAAAATCAATATCAAAATGTGATTGAAGAGAAAGATGTGCAAATTACAAATTTTCTAAATTTATTCTTAATAAGTTATAGAAAATATTCTTAAAAATGCAATTAAAATGTGAATTTTTAAATATTCTTAAATCAGACAAAATCAACTAAATCAATGTCAAATCTGTCAAAGTGTGTGGTGGTGGGGAATTAGATGAAATCTCATGAAAGTCACTGATAATGACACAAATTACAAAGCGTCTAGTCAAATAAATAAATTACCGGATACTATTGTAACTGGTCCTTGTATATCTGTTAAATTCTGTCTCGTAAAGTTTTTAATCAACCCTTTAATAAGAGTAGTCTTGCCGACTTTAGGCGGTCCAACGACTGCAACTACAATAGGTGGAGGCTCCAAAGGTGTTCTGTCTACCAAAGGTATGTGCTGCTTCTTTGTTTCAATATCTAAAGTTCTAAAAGAAAACAATAATTTAATAAAATTAATAGTTCAGTATTGCTCTAACACTTGGTGTCATGACTTTTGTGAATATGTGTTCCCAGTGATTTTGTTCGGCTGGTATGACTCAAGAAGCGATATATAATTATAATATTACCAGAAAGTATGCACTGAGGCAGTATGGGGCAGCATCAACTTCTCTTATATGTATTAGCTTTTTGTATAATGTTGTATTCTTGCGATAACCTCACAATATGGTAAATTATTATACATCTGTCACCATAACGCCATAAGTTACAGCGTGCCATAATTTTCCGGGGTATTTTCATCCTACCATATTAGGAAATGCGAATTCCGAATATGGATTACGCGCGTAAGCGTCCTCTAATAATATAAACAAACATAGTTGCCACCAGGGTTTGACCGGACTCAACATAAAGGAGTTCACTGATTATGTTCTAAACTTTTTGGATTTCAGCATTCCCATGATGTATCCTTGGAAGGGAAAGATGTATAATAATAAGGTTATTATGAAAATACCTCAAAGTATGTACTCAGACAGTACGCTGCGCATCGATCGATACTGTCGCTGTACTGTCTTCGTGCATACTTTTAGGTATTCTCATAATATACCTCATTGCAAACTAAAAATACTATCTTTGAAAAGAACTTTTTTCTGCCTATAGAAAATATTATATGTGATTGGCTTCAATACTTGTACATAATGTTTTTGGTCCATGTTGTAAAAGCAAGAATTTTACTACTGAGGAAATTCCAATTCATCATAAAATAAAAGTATACATGTATGATTATTTTGCCAATTCCATGGGTGCACCATATTTGAAAGAAAACTAGCAATCAACTGATCAGAAGTATCTAACTGCATTGATTTCATACTCGTTTGGCAGGTCATTGACATTTGTGTTAAATTAAAACTGTGGATAATCATAACACGGCAATGTAAAAATATGGCTATTACCGTATTCATCTTAACCATTGCACATCACAAAAGAGCACCAGCAGCTGGGTGAACATTTGGTGTCCCAAAAATTAATAAATACGGTAAAAACTGATAATAATAATGATAATTGTTAATTAAATAGGACATATTAATAAAATGCAAATCAGTATCAGTAGATTTCAATTCAATATGCACAGCCACAATGTCTTTCCAATGGAGCTTTTTTTTGGAAGAAAAGTTTGAACTAGAATTTATAGAATATATTTTTTTCTTGTGAATGAAACCTGTACCCAAATTATTAAAAAACAAAAATTAATAGTTTTCATGCCAGGGTTTTTATGATACCAAGTGTAGATCAAACTGCAAGAAAACCTGTCTGCGTTGACTTTAAAATAGTTGATAGTACAAACCATGTTTAGAATAAAAGCACCAAAACATGGGCGATGTTTTCAAGTGATCCCATAAAACATATGACCCATTATCCAAAACATCATCAATAGCAATGGTTCAGATGAATATGGTAGGTAAAATATTAAAAGAGAAATACATAAGTAAGGATTCCCCCAAAAAAATCTTTAATTATTATTTCCCAAGATCTAATCCACCTTATTTACCTTCGGACTGCCCTTGCTGTTTTTACCACTGATTGGACAGAAAAAGCTCTTGGATTTCTCTGTCGATCAGTTAACTCTTGCTCGTGAACATGTTTCTTTTTCTTCTTGTCAGCTTTTGGACCACTTTTACGACCACGGTGAACTTTGGTTGCTTTTTGTTCGGCATCCCCCATTGTAGATAAATATACGATAGATCAGCTTCCTTTGATATTGATGCTGTAAGTAAAATAACTATGGTCTGTGTATTTTATTGTCACAAGTTTGGGTCCCAACATTTTACCAGAGCAATCCCCTATTTATAAAACAGATGCAATGTACGATGTATTTGTGAAGTTTAAACTTGATTGGTCCAGGCATGTACAAGATATGGCTCTGTGGAACTGCATTCGTTTAAACAAAATAATTGCCGGTCAGCCATTTTGGATTTGATGTGAAATGCATACTTTTGGAACAAAATAGCCACAAGTCAGCCATTTTGAACTAGATGCGAAAATAATCAAGGTTCTATTGTGTTCAATGTATGTACCAATTGTAAATCAAATCTATCCACACAATCCGGTCAAGGAATGGAGAAAATGTGTGATTTTTATGCATTTTTGGCATTAAAATGGCTGCCATTCAGCCATCTTGAATAGAATCATGAAACAAATGCATATGCCAGATATAATGTATGATATATGTGTAAATTTGAACTTGATCAGCCCAAACATTTGTGAGATATGGCTGGATACAGAAGTACGCACAGAGGTCAATGCATAAGTCCTTGTTTTCGTATTTCAATAAATGTTATCTATAATGAGCACAGCAAGAGCGACTGAAGGCCGCCTGCCAAGCAAGCTCTACAGATAACATGTGTATATATAGAAAGAGTATGGAAGAAATCTATATAGAGATTGAAAATAATAACTGAAATACATGTAATAACTTCACTTCCATAGTTCATGCCAACCTAAACTGTCAAGAAGTTTTATATGGAGAGTTTGACTTCCTATTGAGACCCTAATTTGTCTCCTGGTCCGAAGAATCACAAATTTTTTTCGTACACCTAACTTGCAGTAAAAATTGGGTCATTCCAGTTTTTGTCCACACCCCACACCCCCTACGGATGGATGTTAAGGTTATGACACCCTATGGATTCCAATCCACCATTCAGGTGTCGGATTTTTATTAACTAACACACCCCCCTGGAAACTTTACTGATTTGACGTATACGGATGGGTACGTGAACAAATTAAATATATCAAAAATATGACACCTCTCGGAATTAGACCATCCATACTTTTCTAGAAATATGACCCCTCGGATTTAAACCATCCGTGGGGGGGGGGGGGGACAAAAACTGGAATGACCCAATCGGCAGCTATTGGCTGAAATACAGCTGCGTTGTTTCAGGAAGCCAGTAAGATCGCCATCAAATTTGGAGGCAACATTGTTTGCTGCACCCAATTAGCTACTGATTTCTGGTGTACGAAACAAATTCGCTGCCACAGTAATTCTCCATTTAAAAGTGCATTTACTGCTTTGTGGATTGACTTTGGTGCATTGCTCATGGCCGTACTGCCTAAACAATTGCTAGAATTGTTCATGATCTAAAATAGCTTCAAGTTGAAAAATTGTAAATTCTCAACGACTGTTACCTTAAATTGTACTTCAAGTCATTTCACTCACTGTCAGGAACGATGTTAATAGTCAGATAACTCACGTGTTTTCGCTAACACATGGACGCAGCCATTTTTTTTCGTTTACTGCAACTTGTCGGTGAGGGCGATATCCAACACTGCTTCAAACCACTGGCAGGCCTGGCTTCAAACGAAGATAGTCCCAAACCACAGTCTCTCAGACTGTGCCCAAACTAACCTGAACACTATAATGCCAGTCTCAGTGCGGAAAGTATTAAATTCAAATTGGACAAATATATATATAAATCAAATTTAAATCGGGGATATACTATATAAAAACACACGGGATATTTTTGTCAACATTGAATTGTTGGGTACTAGTATATTCGCATTTCACCAAAACCAAGAGAGTGTAACACTTTGACTGTTCTTTTTTTTAATACGTAGATACCCGACTTCAATTCATTTTGATTCAAATCGTCTCGTTTTTTGTTTTGTTTTTAATCACGGACAAGCCTGACTCGGATTTAAATCGTCAGCATTGATTTGTTTTAAATGTACGTAAACCATGGTGGACCCAAACTAAACCGTGTTGGTCCCAAACTAAACTACGGTAGATCCAAACTAGATCTCGGTGGACCAAATTAAAACCTGTTTGTCCCATACTAAACCATTTTGGACCTAAACTAAACCCTGTTGGTCCCAAATTAAACTATAGTGGACCCAAACATAAATGACATGGACTTTAACGGGGACAGTGTACCCGTTCAAAACTATGAGCAATATATTAGTAGCCCTTTTTAGACCTGATATATGTATACTATAAATGTCTTTAATCGGTGTGCCAAATTCATCCTAACCCGTTGGCCCGTGATTAGGTATTTTCTTCCCGGTCCAGTCTTACCGCAACTTTTTAAATGTAGTTACCCCGAGCGTCCTGCTATTATTGTAAATAAATATTCACGGTGAAAAGGGATAAATTGTAAATTTACCTTAATGTGGTAGAAGCAAGGCTGGGCAAATTTTGCGAAATAGTAGTTAGTTAGAATTACCGGATACGCAATCGAAACATTGTTGGATATCGAAATATGAATGAAAAACAGCAAGTGACATTTCCAGAGATATAGTTGGAATTGAAGCCAATTGAGTAACCTCATAATCCATGAAACATACTGTTTCTATGGGAACATGCTCTTTATATATCTTTATTTGATATACATTCTCTATAAGTGAGTACATATACATGACCCCAGTGACTTGTAAGCCCATTGGGCTGGGTGACAGATTTTTATTTTCAAGCTATGTATTTATTGAACATTTTCTTATTGTCACACGTCACTTCAATAAACAATGCTACTACTATCCGTCATGTACACAATCATAATAACTTGAAATGATTTCATAACGGAAAGCGGCTTATTACTGAAAAAAATATGAACAATTTAAACTGAAATGTACAAACTATGAACAGTAATTAATGAAAATCTGTGAATTGCTTTACAGGTTCCGGAATTGTATACGAGTCGTCAAAACGTACAGTATGTTGACAGTTGGGAAATATACCATGATTTAACAATCGCAATGTTCTTTTAACACGTGAAACGGACGTGCATAGGTCAAAGTTTGTATAGTTTCAATACACATACCAGCATCCGTATATATTTTGACAATAAACCCCTCTTTCACATTGTGCAAATACAGACAAGACATTAAACCTTCTCTGTTAGTCGGTAAATTGATGGCAAAACTTCAGTCGGTCCACAAATTCCAGTAATATTGTTGGGCCACGACAAGCTTGTATTCTGGTATATAACTAAACCTAATATTGTAGCATGGTCTGCAATAGTAGGTTTAAAATGCTGCCCATTCTTTCAAAAACAATGTCTCAAGTGTTGTATAAACCCCAAAAGTCCGAAGTGACGGCGAATACTTCTAGCGAGTCACCCCTCTAAAAACGTTTTCAACCAGCCTAGGCCAATTATCAATGTGCGGGGAACTTTGCTCTTCGAAAAAGCACCGGTTTCCATCTTCAAATAATCAAAAATACCCTTGATACTCTTGAGAAGTACATGTATATCTATTGTTAACACGATTGGAACTATTTCTGGATAAT